GAACAAAGTGCGAACATAGGGGAGGGAGGGGGTCTAGATTTCTTAAAAAGTGCGAACGTAATATGTGAACGTCCCCTTATGTCTTATGAAAATGATTTATGGCATTAAAATATTACTTGTTGCTATTTTTATACATCACTTGGGAATTATCAATCAGATTAAATAACTTTGTCATTCATTTCTAATAAATACGATATATTACGCATAAACCTGATAATACAGTATGTGATAATATAACCCTGATAATATTATATTATAAATAACTTATTTAAAATAAGACATTACAAGCGTTTATAATAAAGATACATACATTAACCTACGATACATGTATGTGGTTGACGTAATGTATAAATACAATGCTAAATATGGTAAATTTAAGATACGGACACACTTTTATACAATGCACTTGAAAAAAACATTTTATTACATTTGTGATTATTAATATCACATACCGTTCTTCATTTACGTATAATGTGGATACATTAACGATGATTGTACTAGTAATAAAACAATCACCATGTAATTATTTATTGTTTTTATTACGAAAGCATAGTTTAAAGGGATCGGCGATTATGATAGTGTCCTACATATGATTTTATACACGTGTGGTTTGCAAACGACTAATACATTGGACTCGTATGCGAAGGAACCGGCGTTTGATTGTTCAGACTTTTTAAGTCTACCCCAAAACCTGAGGCCATGTCTTATCAAGAATTACGTTAATATTCATCGACAAAATCTTTGCAATGGTCTCGAGTTTGAGACCAATACTGGCCTTCCTATGGCTGATATTGAGTCCAAGTATGCCATGCTTTTTGTGCATCGCGTACATCATGTGGTGGGCAATAGAGAAAAGCAAATGGGTAAATTATCGGTATATGAATATTGTAAATTTAATTGTAAAATTTTAATATGTTTTTAAATTAATATAACAAATTGTAAAGTATAATTTGTCTTTAATAAGGACTTCGTGTTTACCACACTGAAAAATTAATCGCTAACCAACTAGATCATATGATGGCTGGCATACACCCGTCCATTTACGGTGTGTTAGTGCCGCCCAATCGCAACAATTTTGTAAACGTCGGTCACTGCAGTTACCGGTGTTTCAAAGAGGTTAGATACTTTTAATGTAAATTATTATACCTTAAATAATTGTCTTGTTAAATAACCTACAATTAAGGTAACAAACTCTCGTGATTATATTACCATCACACATATTGAGCCACACGTCCATACAAAAGGTAAGAGTAAAATTAATTTAATTGTTATATTTATAAAAATATTAATATAATTGTTATTTATTTGTAATAAATTAATTGTGCAAGTTGTTATTTGGTATAATTGTTTTTCAAATACAGGGACTAAAATACTAATCAGACATTTTCGAGGTAATGAAGAATTGGACCAGGTTTTAAAAGTGGAACATTATGACCAAGCTGATAATATTTATCACAAACTTAAAAAACCCGTTGTTTTTAAGGATAACGACGTTTTATCCATAGAGTGCTATTACAACAACACATTAAGCAACGAAACACTAGTGACAACTGTATTACAAATATACGATTATTTTTATTATATTATAATTTTAATTTAATTACCTTAATTAATACTAATTGAAAGACCGAAAAACATGGTGGAGAGATGTGTCTGGCATTTATGTATTATTACCCACCAGTAAAAGGGGGCGGAATGTGCTTCAGTATGTCTGACGAGGAAACCTTGCTTCAAATGACTAACTTGGAACAAATAACAGGGTAATTGCCAGACTAAATGTTGCTTGTATAACTGACATTTAAAAATAAATATAAAATTTATGTAATATAGATATTGGTTAAATCCGCAACCGATAATCATTAGACCCAAGCATTGGAATAATACACGAGTCGAGGATTATATACGAAAACGCGAGGATTATAGCAATGATATCCAGAATATAATGAGATTCTCGAATAAAAGGATTCGTTGCAATATTATTCAACAAAAAAACGAGCTACATAAAATGGGCTATGTTAATTATCCAGATAGTTTTATTAAAAATAATAGTTTTAACCTAGCTTAAAAATTATTACTGATATTTTTTAATGATTGCTAGTTTTGAAATGAAATATTAATTGCTTGATGATTTAAACATTATTTTGGTTAATAATTATTTTATTAAGCTTGTGTAACTAAAGCAATGTTTTAGTTATATAAAATTTTTATTTATTTTATTTCTATTTTTACCAAATACTGTATTTAAATATAATTTTGTAAATCCCAATTTGTATATAGTAATTTTGATCATGTTAATATAAAATAATTATAATAAAACAAAATCGTTTCTTAATAGTGTACCAAATTGTAATTATTACCCGGCTAACCCTTTACTAGTAACACCTGGACTCAGCGAGTACAATCCCGATCCTACATTACCTAGTTGATATATTTGACACGTGGTGTTACATTTGCCGGACAATGTCCACAAGGAGTAAACGCATGTGGCACTCGTCACCCCCTTCACACTATTGCAACCATTATTCTGGTCGGCGTCCCAAATGGTCTGCCCTTTAAACTGAGATCCGCCACATTTACCACCGCTGACCACTCCTGTTATAAGCGTGTTCTCGTCGCCTATTAAACGTATTAAATAAAAATCACATTTATCAATTAATTTATCATGAATGTTTCTAGATCATTATATTTATATACTCGACGAAATTTAATTAAATTAAATTTTATAACTTATAAATTATAAGTAATTGTAGGCAAACATACCGTTTACATAAGTGGAAACGGAATTGACTTTGGTAATATTGATGGGAGCGATGGTCATTCTACTCGGTTGGTCCACAATGAGGGTCATATTGGCTGTGGAGACGACCACACCGTTACACGTGATCGGCTGTACAGACGAACCCGAATAGACGGCTGCTGTGATGTTGAGCGCACTTTTGGCACCACTCGTGCAGACAGTGCTAAGGGATATGGTTTTGGTTGTGTTCACGATTGGAGTGACCGCTATTTAGGGGTTCATTATTTGCTAATAAAACATGTTTTTTATTCAATACATAGACTTGGAGTGCAGGTAACACTAATAACAATAAATGTAAAAATCACCTAGCTTGTAACATTATTATCTACGGAAAATGTATATGTACTTTGTTAGAATTGTCAAACAACCATGCACATTCAACGTTAGGTAAATTTATATGGTTATAATTCTGTAAAGTCAAATAATCGCTAGGAGATTCTTGCATTTATTGTTACTGGTCATTACATATCTCCATCTGTATATTAACAAACCTTGATTAGGAAATGTACCAGGGGCAGGTGATGGTGTAGGTGAAGGGGGTGGAGGTGTAGGAGAAGGGGGTGGAGGTGTAGGAGAAGGGGGTGGAGGTGTAGGAGAAGGGGG